AGTTCGCCGATTTTTGGCTTTCCTCTTAGACAAGGTCTAGAGCCACGCTAGTTGTACCATTGGAGTCCTCTGGTCAAGATAAGGTCCTCTATAAAGTCTGGTAAGCATAGGAGCTCGTTTTCCCGGTATAGCAAGGCTGCAAAAGTCGTGGCAGCCATTTTGAAGTGGGGTGAATCCTACTTAGTAACGCTACCGCGTTACTAATAGCCTTGGGTACTTTTCAGATTTTGGCACATTTTTTAACATGACCATAACTCGAAAAATTAAAGTTGGAATCAGCTCAAACTTTCTACATAGCATAAGTACATCAATATGTTTTAGAAAATGTAATAAAAATTAGGGGTGATTTCAGAGCCATTTTTTGGAAAAATCCATGGGCTATATTCCATGCTAATAATCCAAAAATTCCCAACTTCTATAATCTATGTCATGTCATGTACATTGTACAGTTGACTGACCTGTGCGTGGACGATGTGAATGAATCTCTGGAGCAGCTGGTTGTTTTCAAGCAAGAAATGAAAATGAACAAAAATCATCTTAGGACACCTCGCGAGTAGAACTTTAAGAACTGACTCGTATTTACTCACAAACTCGTCAAACTTGTCAGGAGAATCAGATCTACAACCAAAACAAAGCAAAAGAGTAAAGCGGCTACAATAATACAACATATACAGCCAGAAATGTATTGGCTAGAGTTGATACATACACAAGTATTAAGCAATTTGTAAAATTTTGCAATTGTTGTACATGTATGTTATATTGACAATTTAGGAGCCACATATCATTGAGCATGTGAAGAATGGAATATTTTATCAAATAAAATAAATCTTTAAAAAATAAATATATTTGCAAGTATCATTTAATCCACCAATATCAATTCTCTGTGGTGGTATTTTTCTCATTAATTTACTTTTTTCCAGCTGGTTTCTTCATTGCTTTTGAGCAGAGGCTAAAGGCATGAGTCACAGCTGACAGTCTATCAGCATACACTCCAACAATATCGGGTGATTTAGCCCCGCCCCTTTCTTCTCCCACCTCCTCTTGGATGGAAGGAGTCTGATCGATATCTTCCATTAGCGGCTTCAACTGGTTTTCTATTGAAACAACAACAAAAATAAAAATTACATTCTTCATAATAAATTTGTTTGGTTTAGCTAATTTTAGGTATTTTTTAATTATATTTTTATGCACCTGCCCATGGCATAAATAAAATAAAAATTCTAATTCTTTTTATTTAAAAAAACATTAAAATTGTAACACAAAATTTTTAACCATTTAACAATAATAAAATAAAATTAAATACTACTATAAAAGGCAGTAAAGACTGCTACATACACAAGTACAATTAAGCAATAATTACCATTCATTAATTAATTCATTAATTATTTATAATAATATTACATGTACATGTACCTGATGAATGGTAATTATCGGAGGACGTTGATCGTGCAAAAGAAGGCAGCGAAGATGTCTCCTCATCTTCCTCCTCCAAAGCTATAACCCTCACCACTCTATCGACATGCCAGGTCCTCCTCTTTAGCGATTTATTAACGGTGGAGCTAGCCCCGCCTACAAAGCCACTCCCATCATTGCTATTACGTAGAAACACCTGTCGTCTTCTGGGCGGGGCACTGAGAATAATAGCAGCTGCTAGTTGAGAGGTGTCGCCACCATTAGTTGGACATGCCTCCTATGAATAATAAATTAATAATTAAAATCAATTATAATAATACCTCGTTAACTTGTGTGGGTGGGGAGTCTATCTCATTAATGATGGGCGGAGTCACCTCCGGTAATTTTGATATTTCGTTTTGTAGTAAGTCGAACCAAGAGGCTAGTGAGGCCCATACAGTGTCTAACTGCTCCATTGGATTATTAGGATAACTGGAAGCAGAAGTGACATCACCTGAAATATTTAAAAATATTTTTACAATATACATGTGTGTGTGTGTGTGTGTGATTTAACTAAAACTAAACAAAAAAATATGTTCAACAAATATAATAGTTAAATAAAACTAAGCTTAGGCTTCTTAATTAAAACAAACTTTTAAAAAGAAAACATGACAAAAAATATGACTAAATTGAAGTAGTTTTAGATCACTAAAACATTACTAACCTAGTGAGGCTGAAATCATACTCTCTCTCTCTATCTGTATCTCGCTAAAGAGGTCAATAGGGGAACCATGAGAATTGGTACGAGCATGCCCTCCTCCTCCTCCTCTACCGGAAAAGAGGTTCAGTGTTGCCGCTCGCCGAGGTCTTGAGTCATTAGGATTCTCACTCCCTCTCAGTCGTGTAGTGGGGGAGGTTTGACGAGCGAGGGGAGAGGGTGGGGCCTGAGAGACAGCAGAGCAGTAGTAGGGGTAGAGGGCACAGAGGACCTTTATGTATCTTAGGAACTGAGGCATGAGGTCGGAGTAACTACTAGTGACACTGAGAGAAAGAGAGATAAGAAATAAAGAATGATATATAATGTATGTGATTCAAAGCAAAAATCAATGAATCAATGATTTGAATCAATGGCACTGAGAGAAAAAGAGATAAAGAATGATTATAAATGATATACATGTATATGTATGTGAATCAAGTAGTAAGATTTAATGAATCCGATGTACATGTAGCAAGCAAAAAACCACCCTTAAGCTAAAAACTACTAGACAATTACAAAATAGTAATTGAGATATAAGCTCTTCTTTATCAGGCCATTAGAATTGACTTTGCTAGCTATAACACTGTGGGTTACTGTTACATAAATGTACATATATGTACATGTACATGTATATCACATCTAAAATAATGTGTCTCTTCTTTCCTTCCCTCCCTCCCTCTCTCCTTACGTCAGTAGTTCCATTCCTGCAGTAGACGCTAGATTAGCTAGTCTGGATATTAGTCCAATCATGATGGCCACATTACACTGACAGAGGTACTCCATCACTGAGAGCATCGTATCCAGGGGGACCTTATCATCTCTTGAAAGTAACAGCAACCGATCAATCTGATCGGGGTACTTCATTAAAATGAGCTCAACGCATTCTTTATAACCATTCTAATAAACAATAACAATAATAACAACAATAATAATAATAATACCAATGATTGTTTGTTTATTATATTAAAGCAAAACAATGTAATATGCACTACAAATGAATGCTGTACTTTAAGCTGCTCTTATCTATTTTACTAAGTCTTCTGTATCATTGATAATAATTACTGCTACGCTGTAGGTCTCCACTTTGTACTACTACTACTAATAATATCAATAATAATTATATTCTGTGGGGCTTTCCTTTTATCCTTTACATGCAGCCTTAGTTTTAGAGGATAATAAATAATCATAAATATAATAATCATGATAGCTTTGCTTACTTCAGCACTTATCTCCAGTGGGGAGACTCCATTGTGATCTGGAGCCATACTGGCACTCATTGACAGCAAGAGCTTAAGACATTTTATCTGACCATGTCTGAGAGAGAGAGAGAGGGAGAGAGGGGGAGAGAGAGAGTGAGTGAGTGAGAGAGAAAGAGAGAGAGAGAAGAAAATAGAAAAGAGTGAGAGATGTCACATCAAACCTGCATGCAAAAAAGAGTGGTGTCCTTCCATCATTACTGGGTTTGTCAAAATCAGCTTTGAACTCTAACAGTTTCAGAACACACTGAAATTAACGTATAATCATGTGACAGTCACAAGAACTCACACTACCTGATAGTGACCATTCTGACAAGCAACATGTAACGCAGTATGACCATGAACATCCTTAGGAAATGGATAATGATAAAGAAAGAGAGAGGGAGAGGAGAAAGGAAAGGAGAAAATGGAATTATAAAAGTGTGAATCAATTACAAAATAGTGTAAATGCTCGAGTACTTACCACTACATCAACAAATTCTCCTCTCTGCAGTATACTGAATAACAACTCTGTGCGGCCATTACAAGCTAACCAGTGCAACTATATAGAAGAGAGTAAAGTTACATGTAGGTATCATTATGTTAAAGGTACATTGTATAGCTATAATGGCTTACAGCTGTTAATCCTTCATTGTCATGAATGCTGATATCAGCACCATTGTCAAAAAGTTTCTGAACACATTTCTTATGCCTACACACAAAAAGGAAATAATAATTTTAGCTTCTTGAAAAGTAGCTACTCTTGATATTTTCATTAATGAGAATTCGTATCAATTTACTCTTTATAAATAATTATGTCATAGGTATGAAATTATTTGAACTTTCACATCCTTTCTGAGCTGTCTCTAATAACCTTTCTCACAATGATCACAATGAAATACAGGTACTTTCCATTTTAAACATTATCACCCATAATACAATAATAAGCAGCTGCTTCCTTATCTCAGTGTGTTTAAGTACATAATAATAAGTGTCCTAAGTACTTTATCAATATAATCATATCTTATCATCATCAGCTGCTGTATTGTATGTATACATGTAGGCATGCATTTTTAAGTAGGGGATTACCCGTTCCTTGCTGCAAGGTGAAGAGGCGTCACACCAATTCTATCAATAACATTTATGGTAGCTCCTCGTTTTATGAGAAATGATAGAGTATCTATAGCACCAGTGCTGATGGGGGAGAGGGATGAGTAGTGTATAAATTACTCATATTTTTAAAAGCTCTTACTTTGCTGCTGAGTGTAATAGCGTACGCTGAGCACGTCCGAATTTATGATTAACATCAAAATTTGAACTAGTAATCAGCTGTTCAACAGGCCTATAATGGAAGAGTTTGAATAGTAAATTAATTTTTACACCATTAATTTGTTTAGTGATTGCAAGAGATAGTCTATGCATATAAAGTTGTGCAAATATTTAGCTACAAGCATATGTACATGCTAGCTTGTACAACTTGATGGCTTGTAGGCCAAGAGCTTGTAAAGTGTGCATATCCTTGTATTACTGACCAATACTCTTACTTACTTCAGTTGGTTCTGTACTACGTATGGAAGGAGGACGTATGAAGCTTCGTTGGGGTCTAAAAGAAGAACAATTAGATCTAAATATACGATGCTCTAGGCTCTCACCAGGTGGGAGTGTGACAGAACGGCCTCTTTGAAGTGCCTTCTTCATAAACTCGACGAATGCCATTTTTCCTCTAAAAATAAACGGAGGTGAGCACGATCCCGTATACTTTAAACACGTGCGCCTCTGATTGCTCAGAGGTCAGCCCCACCCATTTATTCTTGCTGAGCCTGTGCTAAAATGGAGTCTTTGCCTATTGTTGATTTCTCTTCTACTGACACCGAGGGGACGGCGTCTCGTATAGTACACATAATGGAGACTGTGGGATTCCTTTATCTCGATAATGTCCCAGGCTACAACCTCGAGGAAGAAGCAGAACTCTTGGAAATCAACAAATGGTTTTTCAACCTACCTGAGGAAAGGAGACTGAGGGTTGCTCGATACTTGTACAACAAGAAGAACAAGGTCTTCTATCGTGGATATTTCGGCTTGGATAAAGACTACAGCTCCTATAAAGAGGGATACGAGTTTGGACAGGACAGCGTTACAAGCCCAGGATACAAGCTCACTTCGAATGAAGGATTCCCGGTAACGGAAGAAAATGTCTGGCCTGAGCCAGAGCCTAGTGACAGCCAGGAAGAGAAAGAGAGATACGCTAAATTCAAGGAGGTAGTCGTGAAGCATTACGGGTAATTATGATTGTTATTTAGAATTTTAGATGTAATCACTAATCAAATATTATTATTATTATTAAGACGGATTTACAATATCATTGCTAAGCCTAATGTTACATTGACACTAAAGTTGGATATAGTTTAACTCTACTCTAGTATCTATGCATACGTCAAAAGGTCAAATCGCCCACGCTTTTGATTAAAAATTGATAGTATACTGGCCTAGTTAAAACCCACCTTTAAATTTACATTTTTTTTAGTCGAATGATGTCAGCTTCTATGAGATTTCTCCAACTCCTAGCTATTGGTCTAGGATTACCTGAAACATATTTCCACCATCTCTTTGTTCCAGAGACTCTCTCCACTCTTCGCCTCCTGCACTATCCTCAGCGAGGATTTGAGCCTCCTCCATCTGCAATTGAGGATGGCCAAGTTGTTGTGTGTGAGACACACGCCGACAATGTATTTGTGACGTTTCTTACTACGTTCAATTATACCGGTGAGCAAAATAGTCTAATTATTAGATAAAGAAATTATTAGATAAAGAAATATTTAATTTTTGACTTTGAGATCAGGCTATTATAGATTTTAATGCTGCTTTTTTTCAAGAATAAAATACCGTATAACGCTTTATTTTGGCGGCGCTTTATTTTGGCAATTTTGCTGTAAAATTGTAATTGGCGGTTTTTAATTTGGCGATTTTTGTGTACATGTGCATTACTGAGCATGCGCATTAATGATTGGCGGTTTTAATATTGGCAATTTTGCTTGCAAACTGCCAATTGCCAAAATAAAACTCTGCCAAATTAAAGCATTATACGGTAGTTGATGCTAATTGAAAAAAGAATAAATACATGATGTAGTGATATCACATAAATAAATAAATCAAAACGTTTCATTTTTGGAGTAGCCGTGAACATGTATGTTTATCATTATACTCTTGGTTTAGGTCTTCAAGTTCTGCTCCATGACAACACTTGGCTCACTGTACAGCCTCGCCCTGGATCCTTTGTAGTGAATCTGGGTAAAACATTATCAGAATCAACTGGAGGCAGAATAAAAGCTACTAAGCATCGTGTGGTGGACCCTGGAGGTGAAAGATACAGTCTCCCTTTTTTCTTGGAGCCTGGCTACTCTGCAAAAGTCCCTCTGTCCTTGCCTTTGGATGGAAAGGAAGAGAATGATGTGAAGTATATGCAGTATGGGCCATGGCTCCTTGAGAATATGAAGAAATATGCAGAAATAAAAGATGTGCTGAAGCTCTTTGAAGAGTCCGGTTTTAAAAAAGAGAACTGATATTATTTATATGTTTTATATAGACGACTATAATATTAACTTGCATTGTTATATCCCAATAATTTTGTTTCAAATAATTATTATAAGTGTTATAGCACTAAAAAGGTGACAAATGGCAAAATCTAAATTGCAAAGTCCAGGCATCTTATAAATTATCAATTTTGAATTGAATACAAGTATCACTACTATCATATAATGAATGGAACTAATTAAATAAAATCATTAATTTTATATGTACTAATCTATTTATTGTTGTACATGTTTTATTATTGCATCTCACACATAATCCATTAATTAATTGTCCAGTCGGGACATATTTCCAGTACCTTGGGCCCTTTGACCACTCCCCCTCCTGACAAGACTCAACCCCAACCCCCACATCTACCACCAACTTGCATGTGCCCACTTGTATAATCAAACAAAATATTACTCAAAGCTTCCATATTTAAATACACTTTCAATAGCCCCGACTTATTCTAGCATTAATTTTTCATATTTGTAAATTAATCAAAGCCAACATAATTATTTCAACACTATAAGAAGATAGCAGGAGTTAACATTACATTTAATAAAGAATGTACATCATTCATAGTTGTTTGTTAAACTTTTCTACCAGCAACAAAAATAAAATTAGATCTAATATCAGGCTTTCCAGTACAAAGATGATCACTACTGCTGACCACTGCCAGACCAGAGGCCTCCAACATAGAAAAAAGACACTTCATAGAAACTGCAATTGCATTGTATTCCACGTCACTTCCTCCACAAAAATAATGGTATTGATGGACACCTTCGTTACCATCTGCCCTCAAGCAAGTTACAAATAAAAGGTAGCCTCCTTTCTTAATAAGAGATGCAAGCCTATTCATTTGAGCTTGGTGCTCCTCAATGCTGCTTGATGTTGTATTAATGACTAAACTACAGACTATTATGTCATAAGGGCCCAAATATTGAGGATCAATTGGTGGATCCTTTGTTAAATCACACGATACAACTCCCTTCATCTTTTTACGAAGACTCCTCTCTCTCTCCCTTGCTTCCTCCTCACTCTTCCCCTCCAGAGTCTGCACAATGTAATCGAAATGTGGCGACCAGTCAAAACTGGTTAGAGATCCATTCAACCATTGCTCAACCACTTCCCTTCCTTGAGGAGTATATTCAGCCATTGTTATGCTCCTGGCATGTTTTGAGGCACTGATAACGTTGCAAATGACAGGACCACAACCATAATCCAGTACTTGTAGCTCACCATCTGAAGGAAGTAGATCTAGCTGGAAGAATTGATGCAAGGATTTCAATATGAAATTGCAATACAAAGTGGCAGACGGCTCTGGATTGCCATATCTCTCCTTAAGATGAGGTATTGGACAAAAATGAGTTGTATAGGTGTCCTCCACTCTGATCAATCTGCTGCTCCTCCATTTTGATATTCGTTTGAGGTAATGTGGTATGATGTCACGGCTGAGCAGCCTGAGCTGCATTATACGCATGCAACAGAATATAGAACCGCTTCCTTTTCTATATGCCACTTCTGAAGGATGAGAGTGAATATAGCAAATGTATTTGCTTCACTGTGAGACTCTGGAAAAGATAGAACATGAAGTATAGCTTATGCATGCTGTACCCAGGGCCAGCTGTGACATCACAGGTTCTTTTCTCAGTAATAATTGCAACCGGCCTATTAGCATTGAGGCAATTCCCAAGCCAACAGCTACCATACTTAGTAAACATAGCCGGAACATTGTGAAAGTTTCTGCCCCAAATTACTCACTATTAATTTCATACATAAATAATTTAATTTAATTTAATTCAACATTATTACATCTCACACACAATCCATTAATTAATTGTCCAGTCGGGACGTACTTCCAGCACCTCGGACACTTTGACCACTCCCCCTCCTGACAAGACCCAACCCCAACTCTCACATTTACTTCCTGGCCGTCAGCTAGCACACGCCCACCTATATAATTAAACGAAATATCAAACGGAATTTCCGTATTTAAATACACTTTCGAGACATTTAGGAAGTCTTCCAGATTGCACCAGTTATCGTTAGCAAAAGTTACTTTAACAAGTTCTGTTAAAGGATTGGTGGGTGTGGCCAGGTGTAGACATGCCTCCAGTGGACTTCGGATAGTTTTCTGTAAAATCTCTTCTCCGACACATTTAGTGGTTAGAAGGCGTAACTTGCGTAGTACGGTAAAATCAGATTTAAGAGTCTCATTTTTCCATTCTAACGGTACCTGTGGCCATTCGCACATGAAAACACTACCTATAATAAAGAACTTTTAAACTCAGTTTATAATAATAAATAATAATAATAATAAAACTGACCTTCTTTAAATGGATAATGATTATTAATTTCTTCAGCAAGGTGAGGTAATATTGGACCAAGTGATAGTGTAGTGTACTTCAATAAATAATGAAGTACAGTTAGTATGGATTGTCTCTTTAAGCTAGCTGCTTCATCGCAATACAGGCAGTCCTTGATCATATCGTAATAAAAGGGTGATAGATCACTTCGAATCAGATCATCAATCAAATGACATATCTTACAATAATTAAGCTCCTCGTATAAGGACTCGACCGATTCAAAGTATTCCGATAAAACATGCAACATGTAACGCTCAAGAGGTGGGAGGGACGAATAAGGAATGAGGTCTCGCCGGGGATCAAAACTTGAAAGGTTCCCAATCATAAATCGGATGGTCGTACGTATCTTTAATAAAAACTCCCGAACCTGCTCAATCAGTGTACTGGTCAGAGATATATCTGACGTGAAATCACACAAAGCTATGAGTAGGCGAAGTCCATCAGCCCCTAGTTTCTTCTCATCTGTAATATCAACAGGGTCAACGACATTACCAAGGGACTTAGACATTTTAATCCCACGGCCATCAAGCATAAACCCGTGACATACCAACTGCTTATAAGGACTGGTCTTATTTACAGCGACACTGGTTAGCAGTGACGACTGAAACCAGCCTCTATACTGGTCATGTCCTTCCAAGTACATATCAGCCACGCCTCCTTCAACGACGGTCGCCCACGATGACCCAGAGTCGAACCAAATATCCAACGTGTCCGAGCCTTTCTCGTAAGACTCCGCCTCCTTCGTTAGCGAAGGTGGGAGGAGCTCAGTGAGTGGTAGGGTCCACCAGGAATCGGAGCTGTGCTTAAGAAATAATTTCTTAATGTGTTGTATTGTATCGGCCGTTATAAGGTAGCCATCAGGATTATCAAGAGGATAAAAGACAGGTAAAGGCAGACCCCAAACTCGTTGCCTTGATATGCACCATTCCGGACTACTTTCTACCATATCGGTGACCCTCTTCACAGATGATGGTGGGATTCCCTTAACATCGTCCAGTGCTTTTATGGCTTTATCTCTCAGCGTCTCTAAAGATGCAAACCATTGTTTAGTTGATCGTATCAGAACTGGTTCCTTCGTCCTCCAATCGTACGGATACCTGTGCTTATACTGTGAATGATGCAACAAAGACTCGTTGGCCCTCAATAACGATATTATCTTCTCATTACCGGATTTAAATACGTCCAAGCCAGATAAGTCTCCGCCCACCCAATCATCATAACACCCACGCTCGTTAACTAAACTTGTTAGATCCAGACTGTGTCGCTTACCAACTGTGTAATCGTCAAAACCGTGGGCGGGAGCCGTGTGTACTAGCCCAGTGCCTTCTTTAGAGCTGACGTGGGATGAGGGTAGAAAAGGTAAAGTCCCTTCATTAGCAATCATTAATTGATTAGTGAGTGGATTATGATATGCCCCTCCTTCAAGGGAATGTCCAGGGAATGTATCAATAACAGAATAATCTCCAAATAACTCGGAACCTTTTTCATTCAATACGTCACTCCCAATTAAGAATAGCTCACTGCTAGACTCTGCCTTAATCACGCTGTACTGGTGGGCGTGGTTATAACATATCGCCCTGTTACCAGGTAGCGTCCAAGGCGTTGTAGTCCATACTAAAGACTGGACAAGTTTCCCTTCTAATATTTGAGGGAATTTTGATGGGAACTTCACATAAACTGAAGGACTAACGTGATCTTTATATTCCAGTTCGGCCTCAGCGAGGGCAGTGACTGAAGATGGTGACCAGTAAACCGGTTTAAAACTCCGGTATATACAGCCTTGCTTGTACATGTTATAAAACACGTCAATCTGGTTGGACTCGTATTCCCGACTCATCGTGAGATAAGGATGCCCCCAGTCTCCAAGCACCCCCCAGCTACGAAAAGCCTTCTCTTGTGTCTTTATCGCACTCTTTGCGTAGTCCCGAGCAACTTTTCTCACCGTTAAAGGGTGGGCATTAATTGGAATACTCGACGAAGCCTTTTGTTCGATCGGTAGCCCGTGGCAGTCCCACCCTGGCCGGTAGTGAACCCTGTAGCCTCTGAGGACCTTGTATCGGTTGACGAAATCCTTGAGGATCTTATTTAAGGCGTGTCCCACGTGAGGGGGTCCGTTAGCATAAGGTGGTCCATCGTGTAGTATGAATTGAGGAGCCTCTGTCCTTTTAGATTGGAGCTCGTACAGTCCCATGTAGCTACTAGACTTCTGTATGGTCGACTCGGCGCTTTTGGGGTCTTTCCTATAAAGAGGGAAGGCGGTTTTTGGAGTCAGAACCTTGTACTTGCCCATATTGTTACACGTGGTGTACCGTAAAAGCTCTGTTCTAAATTAGCGTACAATGTAATGAGATACCGTAAAACTCTAATTAAGAGATTGTAGTAATATTGAAATGCAATTTTGTTAGTGTGACGTAGGTAAACAAAGGAGAATAGCGACCAAAGCTGAGGAGAGAAGCTGAGAGGGGAAGGAAAATGGGTAGATTGTTTCTTCAACATCCTGGCGGTCTAAGAGTGTATTGTTGTGCTAACTGTGACACGGCTCTCACTAACAGAGGCGAACTAGTATCAACAGTAAGTTCAGAAAAAAATAATAATGCTATTTATATAAATCTAATTGTTTTTTGACTAATAGAGATTTAATGGTGCAACTGGTCGTGCATTTCTGTTCAATAGAGTGTGAGTTGCGAACTTACAATGATGTTATAAAAATAGGCCACACCTTTCAAATGACCACACCCCTTTGCAATTTTTGATAGAATTATTTCAGCTATAAAAACCACCCATTATTTGATGTATATGCACGTTTTTATGTTGTGTAGAAATTTTAAGTTGATTTTGATCAAAAATTAGATTTTTTATCAATTTTTAAAGTTGCTCCAAAATTTGACAAACCACCCTGTGCTATAGTACAGGGTATTCAGTCAAATTTTGCCAAAAATGGTAAAGAGAGAATTTTCCATTTTTATAATTTTTTCTGATGCATTTACATATTATGTTGTCCCGAAATTTTGAGCTGATTTCGATCAAAATTGGATTTTTAATGAATTTTTAAAGTTTCCCCAAAATCGGGTCAAAGTCCCTGTACTATAGTACAGGGGTTTTGGCCAAATTTTGCCAAAATTGAAAAGGAGAGAATTCTCCATTTTTAAAATTTTTCTGATACATATACATGTTCTTATGTTGTGCAGAAAGTTTGAGCTGATTCCGATCAAATTTGGATTTTATACGAATTTTTTAAGTTGCTCCAAAATCAGGTCAAAGTTCCTGTACTATAGTACAGGGGCGTCGGCCAAATTTTGCCAAAATTGTCAAGTAGAGAATTCTCAACTTTTATAATATTTTCTGATGCATATACATGTTCTTATGTTGTGTAGAAAGTTTGAGCTGATTCCAATCAGGATTAATTATTTTACAAATTTTTAAAGTTTCTCTAAAATTGGACAAAGCACTCTGTATAGTGTGGGGGGAATTGTGTGATGTAACAGCAAGTCATCCTTAGCTGACTGCTTATTCACCACAGAGACAACTGCTACATTATCAGAATGAAAGCAGACATGACTACCTTTCCACTGACACCCCCATACCGCTGGGCATTCGTGTACATGTACTATTTTTTTCAGAGTCTCTCTCTCTCTCTCTTTTTTTAGTGTTAATTTAACATTCAGTGAACCAGAGAATAGAATAATGGTAAAATAACTTTAAAGCACATGCTAAAAATGAAAAATAATTGTTTTTCTTTTCTTCATTATAATAACCTTCTTCTCAGTTAACTGGTAGACATATCGTGAGGGATGTTTCTTGCAAGGCTTGTGCAGCCAGACTGGGTTGGATCTATGTAAGTATATAAATATTAAAAATAAAATAAGTATAATTATATTATTTTTAATTGTGAAGGAATATGCTACAGAAGAATCTCAGAGATATAAGGTTAGGTTTTAAAATACAAAATTGATTATAAAAATACAGTTTTAAAATAATGAATTTTTAAAACTGGTATAACGATGAATGTTAACTTAAAATTATGCTACAGTAGCATTAAATTTGGCTGTTAATGGCTTTGTGAAGAAACCATAAATTATATAAAATGTACTATTATTTATTGTTATTTTATATGTTTTGACAAGTGGTTGCCATTATGAATCCCTCACCAATAAAATTAATTTCTGTTTTTTTAATTCCAGGAAGGTCGTGTGATTCTAGAAAGAGCTTTGATCACAGAGACATCTGGATTCGAAGAAATATCTGATTGATAAAAAATATAATAATTACTCTGCCAATTGGAGGCATAAATTCAAGCTGTATTATTGATTGTCTTATTTTAATTCATTATTATTATTATTATTGTTATCATTATTATTATTGTTATTATTATTACTCCAACATTGATAATCATGATTTTATGTATGCGTGCAATGTATTAGTTATGTATTAGCAGTATATTATTATTATCAGTATTTATTTTGTGATGTGTTTATTACAGAACCACAATTATGCTAATTTAAATCCTAATTAGAAGCGGGTGGGGTCACACTAACTGAAACTGCATGTGTTGAGAGCAAAGAAACTGAAAGAGGATAATCACAATAACTGTATAAGGTAAGACACTGAAACTGAACAAGCTTGTTGCCATTTATAGAAACGATGGCTTGTATGCTAATAAAACACGTGATTGCATGCAGTAGACCCGCTGTAAGCTCATGCTGCCATGTGGTTTAGTATCAACCACTCATCTTGTAGACACACTCGACTAACAACCCACAAACCACCTGCCTCCGGTAGCTATAACTGCTGGACTACGACACTATAAAAATATTTGTTATAGCTAGAGCAGCATCACGATAAACAGGATGACAATCTATAAATATCTTGTAAGAATTTCGTGTCGACATTTTAACACTTGTCTAGTTTACTTTTACGGCATTACAATCTCTCTGTCAGTTCCAAATATTAATGCCTGTTTTTGTCAGTTGTTTTTTTCTCTCCACACACTTTACAATATCACATACACTATAGAGTCCAGCTAGTATACGAACAAAAAAAATTACATAACAAAACCTCCTGACTAGTAAAAACAGACAGACGCAATTCCTATGTGATAAAGATTCCTATGTGATAAAGATTCCTACGTGATAAAAACCTCATTTTCTCTTGTAATTACGTTATACAATGTGTATCAGTAATAACTCTGTATATAGTGCATCACATGGTTGTGTGGTCACCTGATTCATACAGTCCGTACTTCCCCACTGTTCCTCATTATCAATCACCGTACCATTCAGGAGTAAGCACCAACGCACAATACATTCGTAGGTATGGGTGACTTTCCCCAGTATAACCACTCCTGTCGGTTATTCCATTCACCTATTTGTCACAAATAATAGTTATATAACATTTCACCAACAGAAGCCTTTGCTATTGTAAACATGCACAGACTAGCTAGTAGTCATTATCCCTACAGAAATAATGATTATCATTATTAGGCCTATTACAGATACATTGATTTATACCATGCTACACTAGACTGAATGCTTTATTGTATTTCAGGCCATGTTTGCAGCATAGATACTATTCATTACTGCCTAATACATCACATATTACTACATGATTATCTCTTACTTGCTGTCTAGTTTTCTGAGAGAATTAAAGCTGAAAGGATCAAGCAGAAAGAAGTAGAGAAAGAGAAGCTTTTAGATCTTCTTTTTTAGCACTACTAGAAGAAGGTATGCAAGCATGTATAACATCTAAAAGATACTATACAGGGCTGAGTTTGTATAAAATAATAATTTTTTCTTATTTCTGAGAAATGTTGACACATGTTCCCAGCCAGTCATACAATGAATGCAATTAGGATGGTTCTGAGAATCAATGAATCTAATTATCACCTGCCCTCAGTCTCCCTCATGCACCAGCGTGTTATATGCATGAGCGTACATGCACTTATAATGTGTCAAATAGCCCCACCCACACTTTACTGCACAATTTTTCACCAGTTGGCTTAGAAACGTGTCAGAGAGTACATGTATCTCCTCTGTTTAGGAGACAGCGTGTCAACCTGAGCCATAGAGGCGGACTAAATCAAGGTTTGTTACTTCGTGGGTTTTGTGTGTACTTATCCGGCCTCACTATTCAACCCTGCATTTATATACAGGGAGAGATTGAGATCTGTTTTTGAATTCATACTCTACTAATTGCCATTTTTTCCTCATGGATGTTGATCTTATATTGGAGGCTGCTGACCTCATGGACAAGAAAGCAAATGACATTAATTATAGAGTCACCAGTGAGAGCCAAGAAACTTCGGGCAAAGGACCTGGTACGGTTTTTAGCATTAGAGTATTGCAGTATTATGATGTATGTAATATATCCGCATATAGTACCGTGTATTGCATTGTGCTGTATTGTGGGGTACATTGTTAGCATGGTTGTTGTATATATCCCTTTGTATATATAAATAATTATAATTTGTACTTTCATTACAATAATACAATAAATATATTTCTTATCATTTATATATTTTTAGAAAAGAGTGAGAAAGAGGTAGGAGCGGTGAGTCTGGCTATCCCCGTAGGAGGAGATAGCGGTTTACATGTGGTTCAAGGAGAGGAGGAGGAAGAAAGGGAGAGAAAGAGGGCAGTCCAGGACTTTACCCATTCATTTCCTTCTTCAGCCGCAGAACTACCAAATGAAAAACACAACGAGAATGAAAGAAAAAGGTTAACCTCTAAAAACTATCCCTCATTCATTCTAGCTCTCCCACTCTCTCTAACCAAACGGTCCCTTGCGATGATGACATAATCAAAATTCATAATAAATACATGTTTATGCCCGACTTGTAAGTAAATCCAATTTTCTTATGTCTGGGAAGGTCCCTTGTCTCTTTATAGTGTGGGTGGGATGTCTGCTAGTGTATATCTAATGAAGGATGAGGTTTTCAGTATATTAGATAAGGTTTTGCGTTAAGCTTTTGCTCTAGCTGTGTTTTTAGGTAGTGTTTATGGTAACAGTCATGATTGTTTTAGGTCAAGTCAGTGGGTTTTGGTCAAGGATTCTAAACCTTTAATGATATTCTGTTTCTCTGTGTCTCTCTCCCTCTTTCTTTAATTAGACGTAAAATGCTGAAATTATCTGTCCACTCTTTGAGGGATCAGCTTAAAAACAAGACAAGGCGACCTGCTGTCAATACAGTCCTGCGAGCAGCATATGAAGAGATTCAGGTGTGTTACATAAACTATTAGTTGAAGCCATTTTATGCTAAATTAATTTATTACACAAAATAGATATAGCGTTTGTAAGCTAATGTGTGCTTTTGTAACATTATACTTATTATCCTGTTGTGTAACCACCAATTATGCTGTTACTATTAGCTGCTATATGAACATATAATGATAGGATTCTGCTCTATAATTTGATGCCTAGGGGCTGGAGAGTAGAAGAGATCCAGGGAGAGAGAGGGGGAGAGAGAGAAGCAAGGTTTTAAAGGAGAAGAGACAAAGAGAGAATAGATTATTAGTTAAAGTCCAAGCAGTGTAGGAGAGAGAGAGAGAGAGGGGGGGGGGGAGAGAGAGAGAGAGAGAGAGAAGCAAGGTTTTAAAGGAGAAGAGACAGAGAGAGAATAGATTATTAGTTAAAGTCCAAGCAGCGTAGGAGAGTGAGAGAGAAAGAGAGAGAGGGAGAGAGAGGGGGTGGAAAGGGATTGTTTTTTATTTGCTTAACATTATTAAAGTGACCACGCCTCGCATTCGCATGATATGATTTATCTTAAACAAAATACCACTTGTTCTAAGAATAATAATAAATATTATTAAATATGCAACCGGCTGCACGAATGTGGGCGATCGTCAGAAAATGGATTTTATAACAAATCCAAGGAGAAACATCAATATTTATATAATTCTTATTAGTCAATAACACATATAAAAGAGCCAATATTGTTACACAGTATCTCTGTTACCATGGGTGCGAATGTTACGCTGTGTATATTCATTTTTTAAAATTAAAAATGATTATCCTCAAGCCACTAAAATTCAAGTCTCACTTTGATCCGGGGCCGATTGGCTGAGAGCCATGTCACGTTTGTCACCGCCACACATGCTTAATCCCCACTATTCACACGTATGGGCTCCGTAATACAGAGTGTGGGAGGTGTCGCCTTGAAGTCTTAGATTTTATTAATATATGCTCATATCATATTTCTATGGTAACTTGTTAAGGAGACAAGAATGCGTTTGTGTACTGATTCTTTCATAATATTTTCACACGGACCTCTCTCTGTGTATAGTAAATACACTTATGATGTATTGTGTACATGCATAATGGGCTGAATACATATATGAATATAATGGGTTTAAGTGCTTCCTTTTTGTGCCTGCTACATCTCTCAATGATAACACCTTAAATGACTTAAACAGCTTTGATCTGTCTCCAGCGGGCTCAACGGAAAGTACCTTGTCTGCTCTTATCCCTTTTGTCTGCCGTCCCTCAGTCTGGGTCATAAAGAGGGGACTTGCATAATGTTACATATTGTTTGTTAGTGCGTGAGCAGATGAATGTATTCGCTCTCATGCTACCACTGCTTTTGTGTGCTTTGCTGCACATTTATGTCTTATCCTTCTTGGACTGTTAGCATTTAGTAAGAAGTAGCCTTGAGCGATATTGTCCTCCATTGATTATATCGAGTGAGTGATGGTGATATTATGATCTTTTGTTCTTAGGAATTGAAAAAACTTGAAGATGAGCAGAGTAAAGTTTTAGAGGAACTCAAGCAAAAGAATATTATATTAAACTGCTACCTTGAGAAGCAACTGTAAGTACTTTGTACTACAAGTACTTGTACATGTACTTGTACATGTACTGTGCATGTACTGTGGTGTTACCTAAACCCTTATATATTTTCTTTGGTTTGTCTTATTATCATATGGTTAAGACCTTAAAACCAAATGAATATTATGGTACATGTAGGCATACATGCATGCATCTGTGCACATGTACATGTATATATCGTAACTTGAGTCCTTTGATATTTGTCCTCGCCTTTTGCTTCAGAGGCATAAGGTATCATCAGATAGCTACACCTAAAAACCATCACCATTAGACTTTCCTTTGATTATCACAGCCCTACCTACATGTAATGGAGTACATGCACATGTACATGTATTATACGCTACCTTTTCAACTCCTTATATGGTGTTCAGGACTTTCCCAAAACACACATGCACATGTACACCTGGAATTTTTAATGATGCGTTCAGAGATAGATAAACCTATTTCGGTTGATCCCAATATTAAATTAATTCCTATATTAAATTAATTCCTATATTAAATTATGTGTACATGTACATGTACATGTGTATCATTAATTTTACTCTCCCCGCTACTGCTATCACTGCCCCGGTACCTGTAACCATGACAATCAGAGTGGCATGATGTTGTTATAGTTGTAATAATAGTGAAAGCTAATAATGCATTTGACTGATGATATAATAAATGAAAAACAATATCACAGTAGGATTAATGCAGCCCAATACAGGCCTTGTAGCAGACACATTAGCTCATGCTTTCATGCTGCAATCCATGCATTACTAACCCACTCTTGGGACATCTTTAAAAACACATAAAACGAATTGGGTCTCCTCCTTTTATGAGAAAGAGGGCCGGCTGTCTCTTTCTATGTAAACCGTTCCCCCTCACTCTGTCTTCCTTTATCTCCATTCTCACAGATAGTTAAGCATAATGTAGCATGATCATGATGATTATTACTAATAGTTCACCTTTACACAATAGAGTTTTTATGAACCCTTTGTCCTTTAATTGTTCACTAAGCAAAAAGTGGGCAAAGGGCAAGAAGGAAACAGCTTTTAGTAGGCGCTCATATATCAGAGGATGTGATTCAAGAAGCCAGGTATTATATGTGAACACTATAATCCATAAAGCCAAGGATTATAGATGTTTATGTAACGGTGTATTTTTACTTTAGTACAAAGCACACATACGCACATAATAATATACTTAATAATCATATTATTATTTTTTAATTCATGTTATTTTTATTATATAACTTGGATTGCAGCTGCTATCAAGTGGTTGCGTATTTTTAGACTCTGTGTCTCCTGCCTTTGCTCTGTTCCCATTGGTTTTACTGAAGCTCTACAGCTATCAACATGTACATGTACATGTACATATATTTCATAGACTTTAATATAAATTAATGCAACCCTGAATTATTTTATACATGCATAGTTGGTATATGCACGCAATACAAATTGATTCAACGCAATGAAACCTTCCAGTACTTTGTATACATGTACATGTACCAATAGGTAGAACTCTCCTGTATTGTTGTGTATGTTATGATATGTTGTGGGTATTTTTTCTGTCAATACCAGCCTACTAGTCTGTCTCAAATTAATCATATGGATACTTGTGGTGTTGATACTTCTCCTGAAGTTTTTATAATATCTTGATATCCATTAAAGTCTGCATATCATTGCCCTTTCCTTTTTCATAGGAGGGACATCAAGCTAGGGAAGCGCTCTGGGCCTTCACCAGAAGAATCTGATGGAACTCACTCACTTCCAAGCACTAGGAGTGATCCCCCATCTTCTTCTAGTCTCCTAACTCACTCTGTTCTCAACAATGGGGGCTCTATTAGGATTCCTGATACCAGCAATAGTGGTAAGTTGATTTCAATAGCTATAGCCTCTAAAATATATTTTTTAGATCATAACTTACTTGTTTTTAATTGTTACTGTGTAAATTTTGGCTTATGGCTTACATTGTAATAGTAATGGAGATTAAAATAATTAATGATACTAATGTACAATCTAATCTATTGTTCAGAAATACTATTTACATGTGATACTTGTCTGCAATAGTAAATGCAAGAAATTTGATATAATTTGCACTTGATTGCTTTAATGGTAAATTTGAGCTGATTCTGATGAAAACTGGACTTCCTAGAAATTTCTGAAGTTGCTTCCAATTTAGGCCATGAATTTTCATTTTACATCCCATCTTTATGTTTTCATATTAACCTGTCCTAATCGTGGCACTAATGCCATCTCTGTATTATTTTTCCCCTAATCGGCACTATAGACCACCCAGAGTGAGAATTGCAAAGAACTATGAATTTCATTAATTTTATATACAGTATCCACCCACATGCCATAATTGCAATTGGCTGCCATTTTGGTTGGCAAGTTTGTTAAGGAAGTTAATGGAGGCACGAAGAAAATGCCTCACTTACCTGCTGTATAGCTCTATCAAAAGCTAAAAATTGCTTGTTATAAGTATAGGTTATACACCGAGGTAGAGGTTAATAAATACCATAGAAACCGATACCAAGGTGTAACCAACTTCTACCATGACACTTGAAAAACAACTACCAGCTGCTACCACAGTTGACATACATACATCATATCTAACAGGCTACGCCAGTAAAGAATCAACCAATCAAAAAGAATCAATCAACTAGGCATGGTAGAAGAAAGAATAGCTACCATTAAGCTTCTCCTGTAAAATATTTGGTCAAATTCGCTCCAGAATTCTTAATACGAGTTTGTTTTTATGTTGGCCTGTTTGTTCTCCATTGAAACTTGCCAACCAAAATGGCGGCCGGACTAATTTATTTCATCCTAAACCATGCCTTACAACCCGTAATAGTCTTCCCACGCAACCAATTCTCACTCTGGGTGGTCTATAGCATAATGGACCAATAATCATGAGATAAATATTTGGTCGATATAATGAGAATCAGAACTAGAGTGTATGCCCCTCAGGCAATAAAATGAACCAACACAACGTGAATGTCATTAATATTACAAAGTTAGTTATTTGCATCGCATGCAGAAAGTTTAAGCTGATTATAATCAAAATTGGATTTTTAAAGTTGCCTAAGCATCCTTCCTGTACAGGGTTTTTGGTCAATTTCCATCAAAAATGACTAGGAGAGGATTCTTCATTTTTTATAATTTTTCTGATACATATACATGTTCTTATGTTGCATAGAAAGTTTGAGCTGATCCCGATCAAATTTAGATACTAAAACTTTGTTTCTATTTATAGATATTAAAAAATTCTGTTTCTATATATACATGTAGATATTAAAATTCTGTTTCTATTTATAGATATCAAAACTTTGTTTCTATTTATCGATATTAAAACTTTGTTTCTATTTATAGATACATCTCCCCCTCCTCTCCAATCAATAGTGCCAGCCTCTAATCCAACGCCTCCTTCTCTCCAGTGGTTCTCTCCTACCACACTCCCGTTCCATTCACCACCTACTCTATTACCAACGCTACACACCCCTTCTCTCTTTACGCCAAGCCTCATGCAACAACCCACGCCTACCCAGCCGAACATCCTCCTCCAACAATCGGCCCCACCCACCCAAGCCCCTGTACTATTCCAACAGACCACACCTCATACCCAACCGTCCCTTCTTTCTCCTTTTCTGTCTTACGTCTATCCGAATCCTTCCCCAATACTTTACCGACCGACTATTTTCATTCCTAATCCGTCTCCCATATCTCCTCCTTCTCTGATGCCTGTCCCTATCTGTCAGCCATTAGCGGAGGGCACTGTCGCTCCCTCTCTCTTCTCCTCTTCTGGAGGTCACGAAGACGATCACGACGTCAAAGTGACTACTTCAAAAATTCCTCCGCTCATAAGCATAAACGCGTTAAAATTGAGCGAAAACGCTAAGTTTGGTGGTGGACAGAGAAAGCAGTCGATCTCTCCGAATGGTAAAGAGATAAGGATTAATGGTGAGAATGGTAGGAGTGGATCTGGTCCCGGAATGGAGAGTTTGAGAAGTTTAGCTAACGGACATCACTATAATAGGAGTAGCTAGTCCCACACAAATTATTATTAGTAAATATTATTAAATTATTGTAATTTTTTTTCTGTTTTGTTGTTGCGTGTTTACATTATTATTCATAAAATTTATAATGTTAAGTTTGATAATAATAATTATTAATTTGATCAAGTCAATATGGAGGTTTGACTTCTGATGTACAGTTAATTAACCTACATGTGTATAGATCTATTCCGGACACCTTGGTACCCAATAATACCCTCCTGATTATGAACCTGTCCTTATTTCAGAGGTTCATTAATACACGTTACTATTGTATTGGGACTGATACTACCTGTCCTGATTATAGAGGTGTCCTTATTTTAGACTGTCCACAATAGCAGGTTATACTGTATTATCGAATTAAAAAATAATACACCATTCAAATTAAAGTTTTATTATCTCAGAAAAAAATAAAATTTGAAAATAAAATAATAGTAAAATTATAATATAATAATCCTGCCATTAATTAACAACCCAATCAAAAATAACAAACTTTAATAATAACTGAGCACACTATAAACACACAAAAAATAGCACGAGAAAGAGAGAATGAAATATAATTGTATTATTTATTGAACTGAATCACTTTCATTAGCAGATTGAGCATCATATCCCCATATCATTAACTGGAAAGCATCATTCCTCTCCCTAATAGCAGTGCTTTCTTGAAACTCGTCCTGATCTACTATATAATCCTTATGTCCCTTCCCACCAGTGACCAACAGAGATTGATAAACACGGCCACGTTTAGCACTACTCCTATTAAGAGGTGGGGATTCTATCAGGTTAGAATTTGAAGTGGTCGATAAAGCACTTGACATCAAATTTTGAGTTGAGGATGAAAGAGCACCTAATGCTGCTCCTTCAGGTAGTGATATATGAATGAGTCCTTGTATTGGGCTTTCTCTATGAGCATGAACAGCAACTGCACTTGTCCTGAATAATATCCCAGCTCCTTCTGCTTCCGGTGGGTAGCTCGTGACAGGGGAAGAAGGGACCCTGTTTTCTCTGAAGCTGTCAAAGAAGGAGAGAGGGATCGTAACCACTTTGCCTAGGGACGTCCCCATGTAGAGGTTAGTCGAGTCTTTGGTGAGTTGGGATATGTGGATGTCGCTGAAACTCATTATGTTGTCTAAAATGAGAAGTACATGTACAATAAAACATGTATGATTATTGTGAGGGTTTCTTTGGCATAGTACTCAATTTGGCAAACACCCTGTACTATAGTACAGAGTAATTGCCAAAAATGACTAGGAAAGAATTTTCAGTTTTTATAATTTTTTCTGATACATATGCTTGTTCTTATGTTGCGTAGAAAGTTTGAGCTGATTCCAATCAAAATTGGATTTTTTATGAATTTTTAAAATTGCTCAAAAATTGGGTCAAAGTCCCTGTACTATAGTACAGGGGCGCTGGCCAAATTTTGCTAAAAACGACTAGGAGAGAATTCTTCATTTTTATAATTTATTTGATGCATATAAATGTTCTTATGTTGTGTAGAAAGTTTAAGCTGATTCCGATCAAAATTGAATTTTTTATGAATTTTTAAAGTTGCTTCAAAAGTCATGTACTGTACATGCTGCTATTAATATATACATGTACATGTACAATTGCAGATTAGTGTTTTAATGGTCCCTCACTAAAATCCACTAAAAGTGATTAAACTATATTTACCAAGAAGTACAAAGGTTGCTGATATGTCTATCTTCTTAACCACCTCAGCCCTCAGGGTGTCTAATACGTATAAATAGGGTCCCTGGAGAACAGTCGCTATGACCACATCTTGAACATGGACCAGGTGGTTAGGAATGTTATCAATTGTATCAAGAAACCTCATGCCCTGAGAGAGAGAGGGAGGGAGAGAGCGGAGGGAGGGAGGGAGGGAGAGAGAGGGAGGGAGAGAGGAGAGGGGGGAGAGAGAGAGAGGGAGGGAGAGAGGGGA